ACCCTACTGCATTAAGCTATGTAATATACAATGGTTACTTTTCCTTTCTTACACGTTTTGCTCTTCTGGAGGTTAATCATCTTTGTTGTTGTCTGTTCATTACCTTAATTTTCTATGTTTTTACTAATAACTGTTTTTCTTAACCCTCCTCTCGATGTACTCCAATGCATTAGACGGTCTATCAATTTCTTCATGTTGACGCCGTCTTCCCAGAATCTCCTGACTTCTCTCACCTGTGTTCACTCTCAAGCTCTGCTAGAACCTCTTGTCCAGGAATCTTCCTTCATCTCCACCCTGGGTTTCCCTCACCACTCTCCTCTGTCGTAAAGCTGCATTCTGGATTCCATGAACTTCCCTTTTTTTTTTTTGGTTTTCTACCTCATTTTAGTGGGAAATACTTTCCAGAAAGAGTTCATGGAAGATAATGTTTTTGGCTTCTTGCATGTCTGAAAATGTCTTCATTCTGTCTTTACACTTAATCATTTGGCTGTGTATAGAATGAAAGATTGGAAACAACTTTCCTTCAGAATTTTCAAGGCATTGTCTCCTTGCCTTCTAGCTGCCAGTGTGGCTGCTGTGCACAATTCAGTGCTATTATGGTTCTTGATCTTCTGTATGCAATATTTTGTTTTGAATCTTTCTGGAAACATGTCGGATTTCCTCTTTATCCTCAATGTTCTGAAATTTTACCATGCAATGTCTTGCTCTGGAACTATTTTAATAAATCCATTATACCTGAAACTTGATAGACCCTTCAGTTCTGTGAAATTTTTGTGAATTATTTCTTTGAAAGTTCTTTAATAATTTGATAGTTCCCTGTGCTTTCTCTTTATGGAAGTCCTATTATTTGGATATCAGATCTTCTAAGCTGGACCCTATTTTCTGTCTTCTCTTTTCCATCTCTGCCTTTTTGCTCCTTTTCTGTTTGTCAACTAGAGTATTGTCAACCAAGAACCCTGACTGATATAATAAAAGTTTACTTCAGCCCGGCCGGGCATGACTCAGTGGTTAAGCGTCAACCTAGGATCCAGGCGATCGGGGTTCCATTCCCGGTCAGGGCACATGCCCGGGTTGCAGGCTGCAGCCGATCAGTGACTCTCTCATCATTGATGTTTCTATCTCTCTCTCTCCCTCTCCTTTCCTCTCTCTGAAATCAATAAAGATATATTTTTTAAAATAAATAAATAAAAGTTTATTTCAGAGGGGAAAAGAGGAGATTCTGAAAATAAATGAAGGAATTAGCCGTTAATAACCTGCAGGTCCTATGGGATTTCAAAAAGGACAAGAAAATAGTTTAGGTTGTGGAGGGTGAGCTAGAGAGTCTTCCAAACGGTCTCCATATACATTCTCCATCTCATCAGTAGTTAGTGAAGGTAGATTGTTGGCTTTATGCATCCGTTGGAGTCTAAAATGTGTCTTAAGGGAGAGATGGAAGATGAAAAATATCCTTGTTTCCATTTTACCTTCCATTTGGGATTGAGACAAATAAAAACACCAACATGTGAACAAGGAGAATCTGAAGCCTATGTCAGACTTAATGAATTAATGTACAAAAATCCAGCTCCAATCTTCAGGCCAATATTCTACAAATATTCACTCTCTTCCTCATCTCCCTCTCTTCCTGGACAGAGACTAGTTTTCTTCCAAATCCATGTTTTGTTCTTCCTGGACACATGGCTAGGCTATATTCCCCATCCCTCTAGTATCCAGGTGGGGGCCATGGAACTGAGTTCTGGCCAATGAAATGTGTGTGAAAGTAAGGAATGCCTCTTCTGGACCTGGCCCCAAAATCATCACTTGAGATTCTCCAGGCTCTCTCCTCCCTCTTCTGAGCCAGATATAGAAGACTACTTGAGGACTTCAGGGCCCCTGGGAAAGGCAGAACTTCTAGATGAGTCCATGAAGTCTCTGAGAAGCAGAGGATCCTTCCCTTCTCCCCCACTGACCCACACTGAACTGTGACATAAGGGAGAAATAAACCTTTATTGAGATTTGGAGGTTGGTTGTTATAGCACTTAGTCTACCCTGCCTAATTCTACTCCACCTTTGGAGAAAGCGCCTTTACTTCCTGGGTCTGTTTCCTCATCTGAAAATGAAGGGTTTAGAATGGTACTCTCTTGGTTGCCTTTCAGCTATAACACTCCATTTATAAATTGTATGGTTATTATTCCAAGTGATTTCAAACTCTACAGGGACTAATTGCAGAATTTTTCAATTATATTAAAGAGTAAATTCTCCATTTATAGATGGGCTGTGTTCTGAAAGTCCAGGTATGAGTTCCTTGTTGGAACACTGCTTATGTCAGAAAATACATTCAATATTTTAAAGTATATCCTCAGTGCTTAATCCTCAGTTCCGAGGCCCCCTGAGCCCCAACTGTAGGCAATGAGGGAGGCGGGAGGTCAGAAACTGAGCAGAATCTCTGAGGCATGATTAGAGAGGGACAGAATGGGAGAGTAGGATGGGGTGGACCATGGGCCAGGATGTCAGTCGCACAAGCCTCCTTGCAAGGTCATAGGAGCCACTATACATGTGAATTATTTCTGTCTTGGATATTTTCAATTCCACTTCTTAACAGTGCTTGGGTACATGCTGTGTGCAAAACAGAGATGGATTTACTGTGGAGCTAATGAAGTCCAAGCTTCAGGGTCCTCACTTACACACAAGACCCTTCCAAGGCCCTAGAATTATGTTCACAAGGTTTTTATAAAGTTTGAAAAAGTAAGATATTTTAACTGTAGTTGGTTAAGACTGCTGTCTATTTCCACTTCAACTTGCCCTCCTTCACATTCCCCTTTGTGTTAGATGGCACTGGAATAGCCACAGGCATTTTTGGAATCCAGCTAAGGGGAAGTTTAGTTGGGATACATTCCATTTGGGATTTATTCACCTGGTTTACAATTACTTGCACGCATAGTTGAGCTATGACCCACCGCCCAGATGGAGGGATAGCTCCAGGAGCCTTATCTACCTACTTATTTGCTAACTCACCTGGAATTGTGACTTGTAGGTGCAAGGCCAAAGTTCAAATCAAGATCTAAACATTTCCTACAGCACCTGGCACCAGAAGTGTGAGGTACTGGAGGAAAATCAAGTTTGAAAATGTATAAAGCCAGAAGCTAATCTGAAGAAAATTCTTCCCATCATCAGCTGTACAAAAATATAAGCAGAAGTCTCTGTCCTTATTGACATCCAATCCAAAGAAGTTTTGTCTTGTTAGCAATATACTCAGTAACACAGTGTGTATCATTTTAAATGTATCATTCATTTTTTTCTTTTTTGATGAGAACTGTTCAGAATACAATTTATCAGAATTCCAATCTTTTTTACATTTTTGATGATATACATTACTGATACTGACACAGATAATTAAAAAGTCATAATACATTACTTATAATGAGGTTTTCAAAGACAGATTGGCTAGTAGATGTAATCAATTCAGAGAGTACATCTAAGATTAGTCCCTGCACAAGAAAATTTGAAATGCTCTGGAATCTTACAGCTCATAGATGAAAGAAATTTTGATCAAGGTCTTTCCCCATTTTGATAACGAAACTAAATATTTACATGATATTGCCAATAACAAATTGTGAACATGAAACTTTTCTAAACAATCAAAAAATAAAATAAATTTGGTCTGCCATGCTAAGAAAAGACTAAATTCTTAGTCATCCTCTCTGTAAAGGAGTACTATCAAATTACTGTCATATGAAGATAGAATCAAAGAGTAAATAGCCAAAAATGTAAGAAAAAAAGTAATATTCAGCCCTGGCCAGGTGGCTCAGTTGATTGGAGCATCATCCTTTACACCAAGAAGGTTCTCCTGTTACTTCTTCTCTGTACCTTCCTTGTTTCGCCATCTCATGTATATTTTTGCTGCCATCATGGACCCAATACCCTTTGACTCAGTGCTGTGTAACCCTTCCCTTTGGACATCCCCATCCCCCACCCCATCCCCTTTCCTTAAATAAATTCCATTTTTATTTATCCACAATCTGAGAGGCTATTTAGCCTGCCCTCAAACCACCCACCTTAACCTTTCAATAAGGGTCTACGTTCATTCTTTTGCATATGAATAACCAGTTTTCCCAGTAGCATTTGTTGACATTGAGTTTTCATTCAACAAATATTTATTGAGCATCTTTGGCCCAAGCATTATGATAGTAGGCATAGGAGATTCAAGATCTGAATAACATGTTTGCATGCACACCCTCTACAGCGAAACCACCTAGGTTCAAATCCCGGTACTACCATTTCTAATTGTGTTACCTTGGGCTAGTGACTAACTTCCTTGTGCCCCAAAGTCCTTATCTACATAAAAGGGACAGTATTTATCCCTGACAGTTGGTGTGAAGATTAAGTTTAATACATGTAAAGAGCTTAGAAAAGTGTCTGACACCTGGTAAGCACTCTTAAGTGCTAGCTCTTAAGGCTTAGTCCTTACCTCTGGAGACGGTCACAGTCTGCACTTGCTCTGTCCACCTGTCCCACCTGGCAGGCAGGGCCACTTGGGTCTTTTGACACCTCAAGTGACACATGGCTCCTGGCCACCCTTTCCTGACAACACGGGATAAACCGAATGCTGATTCCTGTGTCATAGTTTCACTGTGTCACCCTGGACACGTAATTTCTACTCTCTGGGTCTCACTTTATACATTTGTAAAGGAAGGAAGTTAGACCAAAATCGATTTACAAGATCCCAACGAACTCCTCGTTCCAGACAGTCCAAGTCGATGCTCGCTTCGGCAGCACATATACAGATAATCCAAGTTGAAACTATGTCCGCTTGGGGAAGTCACAACCACTCTGCTCGTTTCCTCACCTGTAAAATGGGGTAATACTACTAACCACCTCCCAGGTTAGGCGAGGCCTCTGTAACTTAAACCAAACGCCCCGTCAGCGCTCGCCCAGTGGGCGCCGCCCTCATACCCACGCGCCTTTGCCATTCAGCGCAGGCGCACTGGCGCCGCGGCCGCAGGTTCCCGACTTCCGGTTCCGCCGGGACAGAGACGCCGGACTGAGGCTAATGGCGGCGTCCACCGAACAGAACACCGGAGGCGTAGAGGAGGCCGCGGAGAAAGAGGGACCGCGAGTTCTGGAACCCGGCGCCGCCCCGTTCGGAAATTTCCCTCATTATTCCCGCTTCCACTCTCCAGAGGAACGGCTCCGCCTCCTGCCTCCGGAGCTGCTTAGCCGGCTCTTCCCTCAGGGTCCCGAGACGAAGCCGATTCTGGGGCTAGACGTGGGGTGTAACTCCGGGGTGAGTGAGAGGGGAGGGATCGGAGGTCAGGGAGTCCAGCGGTTGGCTGCCTCCATGTCCACTGGGGCTCTGGCCTGGGCGTAGCATCACACCTTTCCCAAAATTTGTTTAAAGGCGTAGCGTTGATGGACTCCGTGCTGCTACTATAGCTGCCCTTCAGGGTCCCGGCACCGTCTGTCTTAAGACTCTTGTGACGGAATTTTACTCAACTACGTGCGGAATTCCCGAGTCCCCGCCTCCGCGTTAGCCACCCCTAGGCCAAACCTCGGGTGGGAAGGGCCACCGTATCTGGGCTTCTGGCGCTTGCCTCATGTCCAGCGTGGCTGGCGACATG